GAACATTTCTGATTATTATCAATGTTGAAAACAGTTGTGCTGCTGTTTGTAATTTTTTTCAAGATTCTTTGATGAATAAAAAGCTAAAAAAACAAACAAACAAACATTTATTTGAAATAGAAATATTTTGTACCATAATAAATGTCTTTACTGTCACTTTTGATTAATGCATATTTGCTGAATAAAAGTATTAATTATTATTAAATATTAAACAAACTTCCATCTCCTGCATGAGCACCAAGGCATACATTGAGCATGTGCCCCAACTAGACTATCATTTTAATATGAAAGATATAGTAAGAGATATATTAAAAGAAGAACTTGTGATTTATTGAAACGTTTTTTCAGTACCTTCCATATCTTGGGGCCAGACAGAGGGCTCACTAGTCTGACGCTCAGTAGGGACAGTCATGCTGGTCCAGCGCTCTGCCTGAACACTGGCCATCTGAGGAGGAAGCTGCAGGCCCTGATCGCTCCAGCCAGAACTGTTAACAGCCAGCACTTCCTGCCAACACGGCATCACTACAAGACCACAGAAGGCATGTTCAATATCAGTGCAAAAAATATTTCTTCAACTCAATCTGTTAACATTGAAAATGAACCAATTACCTTTTGGAACAACAGTGTCTCGTACAAAACTTGCTTCAATTTCAGGTGGGTCGACTACAAAGGAGGAAAAAATAATCATTTTGATTCCCCTATTATATCCACCTGTAATGTATAATAAAAATTATAAACAGAGTAAACAGCTGTAAACATACCCTCCACTTCTCTTTGGACTGGAGGTGTAGAAACAGTGGTGGTGATGGTGGTTTCTGGTTCTTCTGGGGTGGTCTGGACTTCCTCCATGGTACTAATGGCACTCGAAGCTGCGGTTGCTACTGGGCTGCCTGACTCATCACCTGGAGTCTTGTCCTTCCGCCGCTGCTGTCGTTTCTCACGGTTACTGACCTTGGTCTCCCAGGTACCTGACAGATACAATTACCATGTTCTGACCACTCTATGCAAATAAACTATGTGCTGAGTCAAAGCTATTTATTAAGCAGATACTTTATGATAACGAAACACACACAAATATATTCTCTCTATATATCTATCTATATGTGAAGCAAAATAAATTAACTAAAAAAAATCATGGGATTCATATTAATCAAAACATACCTTCATCTGGTTCTTTGCCATCAACAGATGTAGAGGATTTTTTCTCTTTTGCTGGAGGCTTTGCCTTTTTCTTATTCTTCTTTGCCTAAAACCATCAGGAGCATCAGGTTGAGTGAATAACAGTATTTTGGGGTGAACTATTCTTTTAAAACTACAGTAAATGTCAAAATAAATGAACCTTGTCAGTCTTCACTTCTGGTAGTTCTTGACCGTCCTCCACTTTGGCCTCTTCCTGAAATTCAACAGCAAGTCCGTTCCTCTGGGCCTTCTGTCAAACATTTAGAAAACTGATGACTTTTGAAATAAGTCAATGGGGAAGTAATGCATGTAAAAGTTATGCAATGTGTATGTAAATGCATGTTTTAAATAGAACTGGGATGCCTGAATGTCAACAGGTATTTCGATCGTGAACGAATCGGTGTTTTTT